GTTCAGCAGAGGACATTCTTAAAATTAGATCAGCTTGACCAGTGTCGTCCTGTTGACCTCTCAGTAAAGTGAGCTAGTAACATGATGTTTGCAAGGACAAAGTGCAGGATAGTAGTGAGCAAAGCTGTGCTGATTGGAGAATGACGACACCGGAGCGGTGTCAAGGTAAAATGGTTTGCTGAGTCTGCAGTAAAGCAGATGTATTAGGCAAGTAAAACAACACATTTTAGGGGTGTTGCATTCAAATTAATTCGAATGAATTACATGTCAGTTCAAACTTTGTTCAAATATATTCTATCTGCTGCATGACGAACAGGCTCAGGATGAATTAACTGCACCCGTGAATGTGACTCATCAAGTTGTTTTATGGGCTTCCTGGGAAAGTCACCCTAGGTTTGATTAAATGACTGATTGGTTATGCTCTTCTTGCGGCAACAAAGATTTTGGAGAAATGTTACCAGAGGAAGTGCTGCCCTGAATATGAACTGCATTTGTTGACTACAAAAATCCACAGGGCACTTTTGCACATTTCAAATATGTATGTTATTTATATTTTAGGGGCACATCTTCATCGTCTGTGTCTTCACTGGTAAAAGTCATGAAAATGTGAAATAATCTCTGACTGACGACATGAAGTGGAAGTAAAAAGTTCCAAGCATCAGCCAGACCGGTCTGAACATGTGACAGACACTCACTCAGAGGTCTGAACAATAGTTCACTTCTTCAGTCAGACAGAGAAAACACAGTCAGAGCATGTTCACTGCCAACATTTACAGTGGGTGCCCATTATAAATGCAACACCTAGGTAATGTAAAGCAATGCTGTGCAATCAACACCGTTTTTGTGAAGCCTATAATGTTCCATTTGGGTGAAAGTGTGATTCAACTCTGAAGCAATTATTAAAGCTACACTGAGATGGCTGGCGTTAGAGAGTTGCTGGATTGCATAATACTGTAAAGTGCAATGGTAATCACTGAACATAATTTTCCTTCCCAGTTCCTTCTCCCACCCCACTGCTTCCTTGCCTATTCTCCCCGACATTGATCCTTTCTGTGCCTCTTTCCTTTTAGTCATCCTTGCCCTTGAGTCTTCTGTATTTCCCGCCCTCCTGTCTCTGCTGTCTCTCTCTCTGTGCTGAGCACAGGCTAGAAGTCCCAAAGTCAAAATGGGATGCACCTCCAAAGGTGGTTGAGAATGACCAAGCTAAGATACAAACTGACAAACTGGTAATGGCTAACCAACCGGACATAGTAGCGAAGCTGTGTCAGAGGATGGAGAGCAAAGAAAATATTACCAGAAAGAAAGCAAGAACAGCTGGGTGTGGCCAGAGGCACCTGAAGCCCTGAAGGTTGCCGAGGGCTCACTATAGGACATGGCAGGAATGAAGTTTGTAGCTATCGAGACAACTGTGTTTGATGCATAGGCTGTATATAAAGAAGGATGACTCATCACCACTTCTCTCCACTATGCAAAAGTGAAGCCAAAATATCGTGAATACAGCGGGTCCCATCTTGGCATTTCGCAACCAGATTCTGTGCAGTAGTGACCGAGTAGAGTGATGTATGAGACCACCAATCAGAGCTTTCAAATCATCCAAAATACACCCCTTTTTGTATCATCAAATAACTTATGCAAAATAAATATACCAGAAAAATGACCACTTGTACAAACATCATGATAATATCCACCAAAAATGACAAAAATCACCTCTGGAGAAAATTTATTTGGTGTCTACTTTGAGTTTTTAGTTTGGCTCAGTGATTTGACTGAATGTGAAATAAGGAAGCTGTGCTTTTTAATTGCTCTTTTCATTGGCAACTCTTTTAACAAGGAAAGACTAACACCAGTATGCCAAACATCCAGGGGACTAGCTGAGGATGGGCTTGCCACACAAATGTTTAGAAATATTACGGTACTTACTGAAGTTAGTTTAATACAAGCTAATATAAACAACCTTCTATATTCAGCCATTTGTTTTTTTTTAAACTGATTTTTAAATCCTCAGAAATACATTCCCAGCAGCTGATTTTCAGAATCAGAATCTGCTTTACTGGCCAGGTGTGTTGGACACACGAGGAATTTGACTCTGGTACATCAGCTCTCAATGTGCAAACAGTAAACCAGCATAAGGCTGTGTAATATAACCAAAAATAAGCAGTATTTACAAGCAACACAAAGTGCAAACAATGCAGAATAAGCAGCATGAACAGACT